CGCCCCCTTACCTAAGTGCACCTCCGCTGTGCGCGCTGCCCCCTTACGTAAGTGCACCTCCCCCGTGCGCGTGCCCCTCCTGTGGTCGTTCCTCACCGGTCCCGGTGAATTTGCTGGCGCACCCGGCGCCATCCGGCGAGGAGTCCGCGGAGGGGAGCTGGGAAGCCCGGCTCGGCGGAGGGGAGGGGGCCTGGGTCGGGCCGAGGACTCCGCGTGGAGCGCCAGGTGCGCACTTGTTTGTGGCTCTGGCATCTCGGGGAGGAAGGGCTCGTCCTGCGTCCGGGTCCGGCTCTGCGGTCCCGTGTTCCACCTCCTGGTGCGCGCAACCCGCGCGCCCTCTGCCGGGGCCTGTGCCGGAGCTTCAGTGATCCGCAGTTCACCTACCCCGCGGGTTAATGTAGAAAATAGTAATGGGAGTGTTCCGCCTCTTGGATCTATTGCATTTGCTTCCAAGAATTCTAAGTGTGTTGGGGGCTACATCTGCCATTTTCTGTACTTCATTTAATCGTAGACCCTACGACTGGGGGAGAGATGAAGGGGAGATACTAGCCTGTTCCAGGAATAAGTCATCTAAGACTTGAAGCCAAAGCTGCACTCCTTATCAGTCAGACTAGGGACTGGCAAACTGTGGCTCAGGGGCTGCCCCTTTTTGTAAGTAAAGTTTTATTGGCACACGGCCTTGCCTATTTGTTTATGGATGGCCGAGACTGATTTTGCACAGGGGGGTGGAGTTGAGTGCCTGTGACACAGAGGCTGTGGCCAGGAAGCCTGAAATATTAGTATCTGGCCCTTTAGAAAAAAAGCTTCCTACCCTGAGTTACGCAGCAATGTGGTTGATTCGCCAGCTCCTGGCTGTAACGTCAGGGGCATTTGTCTGCGTTCTGCGTGCCAGCGAGCGGCCTGTGTCACCAAGGAACCACCCAGACCCTGAGCTCTCGGGTAGGTAGACAGCATCAGCACCACTTCCCACAAGGGGAGCTAGAGGCCTTGCAGCCGGCGGGGAGCTGTGAATGAAGGCGGTGTCGGGCTTGCTTTCACCACCTTGGCATCCGGCCCTTACACTTGTCTTCAAACAGTAATAATTTCTTAGAACGTTTTAGATGTGTGCCCTTCTTGTGAGGCATGCTCTCTCTTTCACAAGAAACAGGCCCAGTGGCTTGCGTGGCTGGTTTATTCTGTTTTCCTCCTCTTGCCTGGAGCAGTGGCTCCGTCCCGCAGAACGCCAGTCAGCAGGTGAGGTCAGGGGTGTGCATGTGCGGCCTGTTCCCAGGGCCCTGCACCTTGGGAGCCACGGAGCGGGGACACAGCAGTGGCCACTGCCCAACATGGCTGGCCTCCTGCCGTCTTCGCTGCTTGGGTGCTGGCCTTTGTAACCCCCGGGAGTCTGCTGCAGTAGTCTGTGACTTGTGTTCAAGTTGTATGGCGGGGTGGGTGGAAATATTTCCTAAAAAAAACTCTTCCTCGAAATTTTAAGATTTCATTACCTCCTCCCACCCCTCGTTTGGCCTTTAAAGAAAAACAAGTTTCCTTGGCAAACCTGTTTCTCTTCGTGTGCTTGACATTAAGCTATTTTAATGATGTGGCTGGCCGAGTCTTGCTGGGGTCAGCAGATAAGTGTGGTCACCTGCCACCCTGTTCTCTGGCACCTGACCCCATGGTAACTGCAGCTAAGGCAAGAGCACGTTAGTCGTTCCAGAACTGTAAAAAGGGTAATCCCAATGGAAGAGGAAAAACCATAGCAGGTGTCTGTTGTGAGCCGTTTGAATGACTTAAGGAGATAGCCTGCAGTAGCCAGCTTCTGCTTCCCTCCAGGGGTAGACGGACCCACCCTGGCAAACGGTCTTCCCTCCAGAAGAAACGGAAACGTGCCTGTTAGAAGCCCCGCCCGCGGGTCTGTGGTGTTCGTTCTTGTCCTGGGCCCTCTCCTCGTTAAGAAGCTGGTTGCGTATCAGCTGTGTGTGTGGAATGGCCCTTTGCTATTTGTGGAGGGAAGGAATGAACGTGAACCGTTTCACGAGGAGTTGGGTGTCCAGTCTGGAGAGTTAGGCAGACAGGGGCCTTGAAATAAATGGGGAGACTCTCCTCGTAGCTCGTTTGCTGTTGCGTGGTCAGACCGCTCAGATCGGGTGGAAAGCTGGCGTCCTGTGTTCCCAAGCGTATCTGAGCATTCGCTGAGCACGGAAGCCAAGAAAAAGTGCAGTGTCTCAGGTGTCGGTTGCAGGAGACCCTGGAGTCTTTGACAAGTAAGGAATGGCTGTTGGAAGCAAGACCAAATAAGAGTTCGATGAGCCAATTTGTCCTTTGAATTTTGAGAACAAATGGCTTGTTCTGAAATGTACCTTCTTTACACTTTCTGTTCCATTTTTGTTCTTTTGTTCCATTGTTCTCTCAGAAGGGGACGAGAGGTTGCAGAGAAGAGCTTGTGTCAGGTTCGCCTGGTGCGGCCCCGAGCCCCAGACACCCTCCATGGATACGAGGGCCCCTCGCAGGCTCCCAGCGAGAACAGGTCGGTTTCCATGAGTCTGCCCTGCTCACGGCTCCCCGGCCCCTGGGAGCCAGTGCGTCCTGAGTGTGCAGCCCGCAGACCCCAAGAGCCGCACAGAGCCGTCAGACTGGAGAGACTGGTGCCCGGCACAGGCTCGCTTTGTTAGTGTCTTCCGTACTTCCCTCCCAGCCACTAGCGGCTCGGTGCCCAGAGTTCACGGGAGCTCCACACACGCACGCTTCCTGGCTCTGACCTACCGCTGTGGCATGCTGAGTGTTGTTGGTTTTTCTTTTTTTTTTTAAACGACACAGATTTGGTCATGTACAGTTCTGGGGGTCAGGAGTCTGATATCAAGGTGTGGGCAGGGCTGGTTCCTCCTGTGTCCCCTGTTTCCAGCCTCCTGAGCTGTCACTGCCGTTGGCTTGTGGCCGCTTCACTCTGACCTGTTTCGATGGTCCCCTCTCCTTTTCTCTCTCTTTAAAGGAATTTTATTAAATTGTGGTCAAACATACATGATATAGCTTGTCACTTCAGAAATTTCACAGTTCAGTGGCCCTACCAGGGACTGTCCCCGCCCAGCGCTAACTCCCCATTAACCTTCCCCCAGCCCCCATAACCTAGCCTGCTTTCCCTCGCTACGAATTTTTCTCTTCCAGATATTTCACGTTAAGTGCGATCATACAGTATCTGTCCTTGTGTGTCTGACTTTTGTAACATAACGTTTTCAGGTTCATCCATGTTATAAAGTGTCAGATTCCTGTTCTTTTTATAGCTGAATGTTATTCATTCCTTGTACGAACGTACTGTCTGCCCCACATTGTGCTTATCCGATTGTATTGTGGTAGTCACTGGGTTACTTCCACCTTCTGGCTGTTGCGAACGTTGCCCCGCATTGTCTGTCTGAGTCCCTGTTTCAGTTCCCATGGGCAGACCCAGGAGTGGAATCGCAGGCTCGTGTGACAATTCCATGTTTAACGTTTGAGGAACTTCTGAGCTGTTTTCCACAGCAGCTGCACCATTTTACATTCCCACCAACAAAGTATGAGGCTTGCTATTCCTTTACTTCTTGACAACACTTGCCGTTTTCTGGTTTGTTTTTCTAGTTGCCATGCGAATGGGTGTGAAGTGCTAGCTCATGGTTTGATTTGCATTTCTCTAATGCTTAGTGACATGGAGCATCTTTTCATGTGCTTCTGGGCCATCGGTGTATCTTCTTTAGGAAATGTGTTTTTGAGTCTTTTGCCCATTTTTTAAGTTGGGTATTTGTCATTGAATTGCAGGCACTCTTTGTATATTGTGGATGTTAGGCTTTTATCAGATGTGTGGTTTGCAGATATTTTCTTTCATACTGTGAGGCATTTTTTCACTCCATAGTGTCCTTTGAAGCAGAAAAGGTTTTAATTTTGATGAAGTCCAATTTATATAGATTTTTTCTTGGGTTGTGTGTGCTTTTGGTGTCACATCAGGAAACCCTTGCATACTCCAAAATCACAAAATATTTCCTTCTAAGAGTGTTATAGTTTCAGCTCTTACATTTGGATCTTTACACCATTTTGAGTTAATTTTTGTAGATGGTATTAGGGAAAGGTCCAGCTTTATCCTTTGCATGTGAACGTTCAGCTCTCCCAACACTGACTGGTCTTGGCACCCTTGCTGAAAATCAGTGGACCGTTTGCAAGGGTCTGTTTCTAGGCTCTGTTTTGTTCCACTTGTCTTCGATCTGTCTGTGTGGCAACACCACGCTGTTCTGATTACCGTAGCTTTGTGGTAAGTTTTAAAGCTTACTCCATGGGAACTTATTTCATGGAAGTGTGAGTCCTCCAACCGTGTCCTTGCTTTTCAAGATTGTTCTGGCTACTTTGGGTCCCTTTACATTCCATGAGTTTTATGGTGGGTGTTTTCTTTCCTACAGAAAAGAAAAATGTTTAATGATTTAGCATAAATATATTAGATGAAAACAGTTGTGACTTCGACAAAGCTGTGTCTTCTAGACTCTCTCATGTTAGGGAAGGCCTTCTGACCTGGCTTTTAAGTTCTGCCTCTAATTGATTTTTTTAAAATCTCCAGTCCCAGGGAGTTCATCATAAAAAGTGCTTGGTGAAGAATTGCATTTAGTTCACTGGGAGCTGACGTTGGGAGGAGAGGAACTTGAGAGGCAGCCCACAGTCCCTGTACCTGTGTGCGGGCGCTGAGTCAGAGCCCCCTTCCTCAGAAGGGCACAACCCGGCCACAGCAAGGAGCACCCTGAAACTTCCCCAGAAGTGATGAAGACCTAACTCAGGCTGAGTTGTTTTCGGACAGGATGTCAGTTCCTGGGAGAGGTGATGGGGGGGGTGTGCAGCCCCAGATACAGGAGCCCCTTGGTCTGCCTATGCCCCCCCAAAGCTTGTAATGTGAGGAGGGCCCAAGAGTGATGGGCAGGATGAAGGGCATCTCTCTCTTTGTCCCTTTCAGAGATAAATATTACAAAACCCTTGAGAGACTGCTGTCTCGTTCAATAGGACTGGGGATGCAAGGGGTCATTAAGGGGGAGAAGACGTGATGCTTTAAGAAATGCCTGGAAAGGCGCAGCCCTGAAAAATTGCAGGTGTTCTGCCCTCCACAGTTACGTGGAACCTGAAATGACCCATGTCAGTGAGGTGTTAAGGAGATCTCTTTGTGTTGCTGGAGGTCGTGCGGTGTGTGAACTGTGGGAAATTTGTTCGGCTGGGCTTTGCTGCGGGTTCAGAGAAAACATTCCTTCCTCCCTCCCCAAAGGAAGTTGGAAAGGTGAATTTGAAGGTCAAAGCACAGAGCAGAGGCAGCCATTATGCAGAGGACAGGAGAAACTAAGGCCTGAGTGGGAGAGCCCCGGGCAGGACTCCTGAGCTCCCCCTGCTCACTTCCTCCTTGTTCTGGGCACATGCGTTGGAAGGGACCCCTGATAACCCCAGAGAGGCAGCTCATACCCACTCGTGCTCTCTGCTGTTCATCCCCCTGTGCACATGCACACGCTGCGGCTCATACCTGCGTGTGTGTGCACGCGCTCTGCAGCTCGTACCCACGCGTG